GGATGGTCAGGTGACCTGCTGTGCATGGCTGTGCATGACCTCATATGACCTCATCCTTGGTCATATGACCTGATCACCTGACTAGGCTGAGTAAGCAAGATGTTCTAGCAGGTTCCACCACAGAGGCATAAATATAAGGCCTACTCTGCCTGGGGACTGTCTCTTCAGACTTGGTCTCTTAGGAGCATCCACAGGTACCTATACTGTAGATAGGTCTTAGTCATCAGGTCTACTCCACTTCCTTGTTGCCTGCTTAGACTCTTGGCACTCTTAGGTGAGCAGACTTAGTCAGCCTGTGTTGCCCTAACAGAAGGGCCATTTCAAGATCTGAGACACCAGGTAGTCAGGGGTAGGCAGAAGCATTTGGGAAACAGCTGTCCTCATCAGCCTACCATGTTCAGTGCAGTGTCCTGATGCACTCACAGAGGTTGTCCTCACCCTGATACACTGCTGGCATCCAGCAAGATGGAGGGCTTGGGCTTGCTGCTGGACTGACAGGGTTAAGCTGGGGCTTGAACTGCTTCTATCATGAACATGACTGCTCATGATAACACACAGGGCTTACTTCCATCAAGTTTATTTTTCTTCCATTCACCTCCATGGGGGTATATTAGTTTCTGCAGATGCAAATATGGTGTTTTTACTGGGTGCAAATGTGCACAGCATTTTCAATCCTTATTTTGACACCATGTCCCCACCAGTGTCAGACCCCATCGCTGCTTGAAGGACCCCCCTAATGAGCTGTCCGCAAACATCCACCATAGATGATAGCAACGCATCACGTGCTCATGACGCCATAGTCCGCACATATCCCGATTAATCCATTCAACGACAGCACAGAACAACCGCTCTCATTGCTGGCTGCTACTTAAACCGAGGCTGACGCGTTCGTCTCTCGCTATCTCTCTTTTGACTCCCCCTTTCATCTGACAAAATGCCATTCAAGGAGATCAAGTACGTCTCCCACTCCCCTTCCTCTTTCCCACTCACGAAAAGGTCAGACTCAACGACGGCCGCATCATCCCCCAGATTGGGTTCGGTACGGGCACGGTAAACAAGTCCAAGCCACCCAGCGAGGTTCACGTCCGTGTTTGCTCATAGGAACTTGGAAGATCCCTCAGGACAAAACGCAGGATAATGTACTCACTGCCATTGACGTCGGTTTTGACCATATTGACACCGCTCAAGTCTGTGAGTCTCGTTCCTCCTCGGTCCTGGAGTGGATTAGCGTGCTGATGTTATTCAGACGGGAATGAATTGCAAGTAGGCGCAGCGCTGAAGGAAACTGGGCTGAAAAGGAGCGACGTGTGGGTGACCGTATGTTTCCCATGTCTTGTTCTTGCCTGTTTTGGCTGACAAAGTCCAGACGAAATGGTCTGGAGTAGCTGCTACTCGTCCCGCACAAGCGATCAAACAGAGCCTAGACAAGCTTGGGTTGGAGTATGTCGATTTGTATCTTGTGAGCCTTCTCTTCGCTCTACGCGTACGAACCCGCTAACCACGCACAGATTCACGTAAGCCGTTTTCACCTTCTGCGCTCTCCAGCTCACCCCACGTAGTCCCCCCGACTCGTTCGGCCTAACATCTTCCAAGGATGGTCTGAAATGGTCGATATCCTCAAGAAGGGTCAATCCAAGTCCATCGGCGTGTCCAACTTCCTCATCTCCGACTTGCAGGAACTCGAGTCCTCCCCTATCACGCCAGCCGTGAACCAAATCCTGCTCCATCCCTACGTATATGCGCAGACCAAGCCCTTGATCGAGTACTGCGCTCAGAAGGGCATCGTCATCGAGGCTTACTCGCCCTTGGTGCCGCTCACCCAATACCCCGGAGGGCCGGTGGACAAGCCCGTGTATGCGATTGCCGAACGCCTGGGCGTCGCGCCGGAGCAGGTGCTCCTCGCCTGGATCAAGAGCAAGGGAGCGGTCATCCTCACTACGAGCAGCAAAAAAGAACGGTTGGAGCGGTATCAGGCTGTTGCGGATATCGACCTCACAGACGAGGATATCGGTACGTCTCTCCCCCTTCCCTCTCTCCTGGTGGACAGAAGAGCTGATGAGGGAACAGAGGCGATTGAACTCGCTGGGGCGAAAGGCCCGGGACTGGCACGCTTCAGGAAGTACGTGAAGCCAGTTGTTCTGGGACTGGCGTTGCAGGGAGCTGCGTACGTCGCGTACAGATGGTTGCTTTGAGTACACTGCGCTTGAGGCATTACCTGGGGCATACGTGGCTTCTTAACTTAGTGCCCTGTCAGAGCCAAGGACTTGTCGATGAGTACTGTGTGCCCGGACATGTAGGAAATGTATATGATTATTGTGGACGCACAGCGTTGGCTTCGGGTACAAAGATTCCCGCTATGCAGCGTCCTTGGACGCCTCACCGGACAGAACATGATTCCTCACCCGTTCAACGTGGCTCACTTTGCCTTCATGTTCCCCATCCTCTCCTATTGATCCTCCTCGCGCATGCCTCTTCCATTGGCCAATCCTAGTCGCTTTGCTGACTAATTACCGGTACCTCTTCGATTGGCTCCCAATTTGGCCAGAACTCGTCGCTTTCCTTGGCTACGGGGTCCATCCCCATCAGGGTCGCATCACCATCGTACATGCTCCCTGCTTGCAACCCCGTTTCCAGCACTGACTGCCACATACCCGCGTTCTCCCGAACAGCTCCAAGTGCCAAGAAGGGCACATAGATGTCCCATGTTAGTAGCTCATCGTCGGCATCTTCATATTCCATCACCACCAAATCTGTCTCCTTGGATTGCAATGAGAAGACCACGCGAATAACAGGTTTGTGCTTGTCCTTGTGGTTGCGCTTGGGTGTTGTTTTGTTGGCATCGTAATCATTCATGCCCCGCGCGATGCTGTCCATGTTGTCGAACATAGTTTTTGGGGGCGTTTGCATGCCGGCGTCAGCGTTGATTTGAATGATTGCCAAACTGGTGTTATCTGGCGCGATCTTCGTCCCGTCGATTGTGTAGGGGAAAGCGCCGGCTACACCTGGTTGGCCGAATAGCGTGGAAATTGCGGCACGTCTCGTAAGGTATCGATACAATGATTTCGATCCCGGGAGGAGACCGTGAACGTAGATGATGTGATTGAAATCCCCGAATGAGTTTTCGAATGTCCTTTGAAAAGTTTCGGTGTTCAATGCACGCCCTTGCGATGCTCGGGAACTCTTGAGCGTCATCCACGAGACATCAATGAGCAGACACTTGAAGAAGGCTGGTATCGAAAATTTGCCATATTTAGTGGCAGCATCGCTGGCGAGGATCATAAGGAGCGCGGCGACCACCTGACCACGGTCGTCTACACTGATCCCGGGTGAGACAAAAATCCTTCGGAGGGCATCTGCTGCATTGAATGTGGCCATTGCAGCCTTGGCGCCCTCTGAGATGATTGGCTCACTCGGAGATCCAGTGATAAGTGTTTCGTTATTGTCGGTTATTCGGTAAAGCACACGCATGTGCCGAGCAATCTGGTCATTTATCGTCCTGAGGGATGCACTTGTGTCCGTTTGCATATGGATCGGGATCCGTCGTGCTAAAATCGCCAGCTTTTGCCTATCATCGTAACGTAATCCGTAAGAGGCGCCGAGCAGCTTCTCCATGGCGAATGACTTCAGATTGAGGCCCACTTCACTGTCGACACCGTGCTCGGCCCGTGTGCGAAACCTTAAGCAGTGCCAAATCAGGTCGTGCTCGGTTCCCATTTACGGCAAAAAAAAGCTTACAATATCCTCGACTGCTTGCACATAAAGGTGTCCTTGCTCACCAAGGTCAAATCCATCTCATCCGGTGGTATCCGTGCCATGTTCAAGGGAATGCTGGTGAATGCTGGCAAGCTGCGATACAACCCCGACTGCATGCGGCTTGATGGATTCAACCGCATCGGGGGCGCAGACTGTTCGACGATGCTGGTAGACGTTGAGATGAAGCATGACATCTGTGGCTTCTCGTCCAGATAAAACAATACTCGGCGCAATACTGAGTAGATGGAAGCCTCATCTTCTTGTCCGGCAACCTTCTGTAACAGCATATGCCCTTCATCAAATGCGAGCAACAGAATGGGTAGAGATGACTTGGCGTCATGCTGTAAAAGGGTCGAGAGTGTGCTGAATGAATCTAGCATCTCAGATTTGCGCGATCGGTCTTTTGTTGACAACTCAGGTGATTGAGTTCGCTGTCCATCTCCTTGGGGTGGAGAGACGTGTGTTGCACGTATGGCTTGCATCTAATGTAGATGAGCCAGAATGTTGTCGTGCATATAAAGAACTCCACCCGTGCCGGGTTGGGCTGATACATATGAGTCCAGGTTCCCATGTACCCCCGAAACCAGTTTGCGATTTCAGCATGTTTCTGCGTCCCCACTTCTTCTTGTCGATCCTTTAGTAGCTTGGTCAATTCGTCGTATAGTGTCTTAAGAAAGCATATAATGGCGATTTCACACTCATCCGCGGTCCTCGTACGCTGGAAGTATGCCAGCACATCGCTGTCCGGAGGAGGAAAGCCTGCAATTACATACTCATCAGCACAGCTACCGCGCTACTCAGTAGAATAGCATACCACCGCGTACATCCCTGAGCACAAAGAGCACGGTAAACAGTGTCTTGGACGATTCGTCGACCATACGGCTCTTTCCCATGCCAGATGAATTGACAACCACAAAGCTGTTGCCGAAAAGCGACGATTCGGCCCGGAATAGCTCACAACAATGGGTATCGTGTTTGTGAAAGAGGTCCACTCCATTTCCTTCGTATTCGGAGGACCATGCTTTGAGCGTGGCTAACGCAAGCAAGACATCAGTAAACGACAGCGTCCCTCACAGAGTAGTGACATACCCTCCTCCTGGGCTCTGCTTGAAACGAGATGCATTGTTGATCCTCTGAGGGCAGTCGCGACTCTGGCAGGGTAAATCGCATCTGTAGATTCGGAAAAAACAAAACAGATGAGACACCGGGTTAAAACGGTACGTGATACAGACACGGACCATAAAGCCTGCCCAACTCGATGCGCAAGACGGCTGGGTCTCGTTGAACTGCTCTTATAATCTCTAGTCCAATCTGCCGCAACTCGGGTGAGAACTCCTCCTGTCCTGCCGTTGACAACAGAAGCTGGTCCGCATGCAATCGCTCCATCTCGGTCTTTGCATGCCCTTCCTTGACATCCTTCAGCATTTGGACAAGCGCTGCCCAAACACCTTGCTGACGCGCCCACAGTTTCACTTGGGCATCACGCTCCGAGTTGAAATCACCACGAAGTCTCTTGGAGTAATCCATATCTGAGTCTTCATCCCGTGCGTGTTTAAGATTCTTTCTTGGAGCCATCGAATAGCATCGGTTCAGGAGGGGGAATGTGTGCTCAGCCTTCCCGACTCCGGGTGGTTTTCGCGCATGGTCCGTACCTTGAGGTATTTCCGATACCCCACATTCGTATGGAGGCCGTGACCTTGCAGCGGCGATAAGGCCTGGCGGTGCGGTTCACCCTGCCTGAATTTAGAGAAACAGAATGCTGTGCTAGGGTTGCACCTGCTCTGTGCTCAAACAGTTCCGTTTGGGTCTGCTGAATTCCATTGGTGCCTCTTTGATTCCATGGCATGGACTCTATTACGCAGCATTTAGACGGGATCAAACGGAATCACAAATCGAAGGCCTTGTGCAATTATTTTATTATCATTTTGTTTCATCACAATTTTATTTATGGGAATATTAATAACTTGAAACTTAAATGAAAATAAAACATGCAATTATGCTTGAAATAGAATTATTTCATTCAGTCACAAGGGTCACAACACAAGAATGCAGAAGTCAAAAATTTGCTTCCTGTGTTATGTAAGTAGCACTGCCCCAGAGGGGCCAAAATTACTTGTTTTCCTTCGAAGCCAGAAGCAAGAGTATTTGCTGCCATGGAGGGAATTGAATGTGAACCCTTTGCATAGCCACAGATAAAAGGACTTTTTAAACACAAATTTAGAAAAACCCACAGATTTGAGCTAAACTAAATGCCAACCACTCTCCAGTCAAGACCATGACCAGAGGCTGCAAGAGGATAGCTGGGACCCCTTATTAGCCAACCAACCTAGCTGTCCCATCACAGCCTCCATATATTCAGAAGCAAAGTTCTAACAATATGGTAGACTGTAAGTTATTGACCCCTGAGGGCCCAATATTATGGTGGATGTTCATGGACAGCCATGGTGTTAGGGGTTCTAGCTATCTGCAAAAGGCCACCAGATGTGGTCATTGCTGGACAAGGGTCCTCAGTGTTTAATTTTACTTAAATCCATGGTTTTTCTATATTTGTGTTTAATTCCAACTTTTTTGGGGGGTAAAAGGTTGACATTTGAGTCAAGAGTCTGATACAGTGTTCCTTTGGCTATTATAGATAGTCTTATTGTCAGGGCACACCATTGAGCAGAGGCTGAACACAAAGGTTTCAGGTGAAGCTGCAACCTATCGGGGTGACCTGACTGCCAAACAACCACTAATCATCTGAAAGGCCAACATCAGACCTCTTGGTGGTCCTCACATGTCTGCTTCAGGATTTCTCATGGTATCAGCCATGTCAGCCACATGGAGTAGTGAGGGTGGTATGGGAAGAGGGTCAATAGTCCCAATAACATTGACAATTGACCATGCTTGGCACATCGCACAAGTCAGTATGGGAGAATCAGAAATGGTAGTAGGAGGGGTGCTGTAGTTGACCAGTATCAAGGTCAAACCACAAGGTATTGGGAGTTGTGGATGACCAATCATGTCAATATCAGACTCAGGCATCACAAAGCCATGCCTTCAGGAGTCAGTGGAGGTATCATACAGGTATCAGTGGGAGGGGATGGGATCTCAATGGTGGTTGTCCTCTGGTTGGGTGAGATCATGTCAGGGCACTGCCTGTTACCACCCCTGGCCACCCATTTCACCCTAGGAGCAATGAAACAACAAGCCCCTGGAACTTCCTGTGCTGGTAACTGCCTTAGGATGATGGCAGTGGCCATACAAGACATTGTGCAGAGGACACCACAAGATTGCTGTGTCCAGACACTTGGGGTGAGACATAGCAGTGCTAAAGGCCCCTACTGGGAGTAGTGGGACACAAGATGACACTTGTAGGAGTCTCCACAATTTATTGGAAAGGTTTGGGAGGCCTAGGGGTGTTGCTAGGACATCTATCTGACACTTGTAGGAGTCCCCAGAATTTACCTGGACTCCTGGGCTTCTGGTGAACACCTACAAGGTATATAAACAGTAGTACAGTGACACTGTATCCCTCAAATTTGATCTCTGCGGAAACTCCTTAGTCTACAAGCAGTTTCCAAGTCATCTCATTGTCTTGAACCCCCTTCTACACACACCTGAACACCCTGCTCTCAGAAACCTGCCTTGACTCCACAACTCTTGCTACACTTTTCAGCTATCTATAACTGACTTATAACACCCCCTGGGACCCCCCAGTGACCCCCTTGGACCCCCCCAATAATCCAGCTGGCCCTGGTGACATGGATATTGACTAGTACTGCTGGTTAGAGCTGCTTTCAACCACAGTAGACCCCCCAGCACTTCATCTATTGTTTGGGATTAGTGTGTGGCAACCTTGCTAGACCTAGTGCCCTCACAGATCAAGGGGATATCAGATGGGAGTGGTCCATAATTGCCTGTCACCTAGACTTGAGCACCATATCACAATGCCATCAGAGTTGGCATGGCTATCGGGCAATCAGGGTGAGCCATCAAGGGTGTAGTCAGAGGTTTGGTCACTCAAAGACTAGAATCTTGCTGAAAGAAGGGGCATCAGGCCCACCTCATGGAGACTTCAGATATATTGGCACCAGTCATCCAGAAGTCGACAGTCTTGGCTGATTACCAGCCTTCAGAGGGTACAATGAAGAGTCAGGGTGTATCACCAGGTTATTGAGTACCTTGGTCTTACTACCTGAGGTCAATTGATATGATTGTGGACAGTTCACCTGCTTCAAGGGAGATTGGTGTTTTGGGTCATACTAAATGGTGGGATTCCTGAGAGACCAAATCTGAGGCTTCTGTGCCCTCAGACCAGTGCCTACATATACATGCCAGAGGAAACAAAAGGAAGCAATAGACTGTGGCTAGGAAACTGTACTTGTCCATCTTACCTCAGGGCAGACCTTGTGACCAAAGGTCTCCTGATCATGAGTGAAGTCTCCCAATCTCCACACTAGGGCTCACCCCTACTTCTTGATTATCAGCCGAAACCTGGCCAAAACATGCTTTGAGATCTGATCTGATCCCAATCACCCATACTTGAGTCATAGGCACCTTGAGTAGGTAGCTGAAACTGCCAAAAGGTGGCTACTTGTCTTTGACCTGTTGAAAGCCTTGCTGGGGCCCATGACCAAGGCCTACAAATAGTCAAACATGATTGATCGGCTGGTCTGAAAGGTGTCCAAACCCCAACCCCCTATGCCTTAGGCCCCAAAGTCCTTTGGGTGTCCTAGTAACTTGACAAAGGGGTCAAAACTCTAGTCAACATGACTGACAGTCTTAAGCAAATGTGCGACTTGCATGTTCAGTCCTTGCAAGGTGAATGATCACTAGTAGCCTTACCATCTATCCCAGATGGGGAGAGGGGCCTTGGTGGGTGCCAGAGTGCTCAGCTTCATTTGAGAGCAAACCTGTGAAGCATGAGCATTGAGAATAGGAATGGAAGTAACCCAGAATACCTAGTAGCCTTGCTGATGCTTTTTCCGGCTGACAATGGTGACATCAAGCATGCTCCATTGTAACATGACTGCAGCAGGATGAGAGATGATGACCTGAACTTCATTGAATGACCAACTGCTTGTAATAGGCTCTGTTTGTCTCCTGATGCCAAGCAAGTTGTGCTTTCTTTAGTTTGTCAGCTGAAGCCATCATAGGAGGACTGGGAAATGCTGTAATGACAGGAATGGTGCCCTATCTGGGTGAAGAAGAGGAAGGAGGTCCAAAGATGGTGTAGAGACCAAAACCTTCCGGAATTGATCCAGAAGTCCTTCGCATTCACCCAGACTTCACTTTACCAAGTCAGAATACCTTAATCAAACTGTCTCTGCTGAAGAAAAAAAACATAGCCATGCATGGCACACTGGCTCTTGACCCATTGATGGGAAGGCCAAAATGACTGATAATCTATGGAGCACTGGTCAGCTGCAGTATGCATAACCTAGTGCTGGTACAGCAGAAGGCAGCACAAGTTCAAGAGACTAGGAGGAGGATGAAAATCAAGCAGATTATATTACTTGTCATCAAAGTCTGATTCAGACTGAAGAAGGTACCCATGCACCAATTGCTCAAACCCAGTAAAGTTTCCCCACATTGCATTATATAGATCACACCTGATGTCAACAAAAAGTTGGTTAAAACAACTTCTAGTATGAAAGAGAGAGTACTTGCAAATCTTTTGTTGATCATCCTGGTTCCATCCTAGTTGTACCTAAAGAGTTGGTCAATGAAGCACAATCAGAATGAGGATGAGCACTACTTGAATAGTGTGTTGACCAATACGAGGTAGTCCAGTCACCTGAAGGGATAACTGAGAGCATCAGAGGGCACCAGGATGGGGGGGGACAATGGTACAGGTGGGATCCATGCCAAGGGTGTTGTATAAAGCTGCGAGAGTAGAGTTGGGACCAGGAGGTGCAGGATGGCTGCTTCCTCTCAGGTAGTGGGTAAACTATTGACGGAAGTGCTTCAGAGCAGAGTCATGTTGCTCAGAAGCTGGCCATTCAAGATGGTGGGCAATGAAACAATCTGGATCATGAGTTCCATCCATCCATAGAAGCTTCAGCATAGCCATCAGATCAGAATCAATAGATTTTGCAAAGAACTGGAATGCAAGACTGAAGGTGCTCATGGTCAAAAATATCCCCAAAACATTGATGCCCTGCATAAAAGCTTTCATCTGGGAGGAGTGCTGAGCACCAGGAGATCCAAATAGCAAGTACTCCCTCAGAGAGTTGGTCAACACCTTGTATCGCACCAAACCCATCCATAGTTGTTGAAAGTGCTCTCACTGCAATCAACCAGGTATGCTGCTCCCCCATTTCATTTACCTGATTACTCATATGATGGTTGATGTATGTTAATCAGGAAGATCTTGCAGCCTGTTAGGGCAACACAGGCTGACTAAGTCTGCTCACCTAAGAGTGCCAAGAGTCTAAGCAGGCAACAAGGAAGTGGAGTAGACCTGATGACTAAGACCTATCTACAGTATAGGTACCTGTGGATGATCCTAAGAGACCAAGTCTGAAGAGACAGTCCCAGGCAGAGTAGGCCTTATATTTATACCTCTGTGGTGGAACCTGGTAGAACATCTT